TGAAACAATTGTATAACAAACGCATTACTTTGTTTGCAAAATAAATAGTATTTCACTATAAAAACTGAAAACATGTAACAAATCAAGTGCCGATTAATATTTATGGTAGGGGTGGCGCCGTATAAACGACTACCATATAACTTTATAACATATTTGTACCAAATTTCCGTGAATAATAAAAAAGTGACTAATAATTGATAAAAAATTTATTATAATTATATAGATGTTGAAATATAATGTTATTATCCATAACATGAGAAAACCGTTTGAAATTTTCAGATGATAAATAAAATATTTATTATTTTTCTATTGAACTAAGAGTTTATAAATAAGCGCTTGTAAAACATGTAACACAATTTCACAAGAGAAGTTGTTTAGTTTTATTGAACATAATTGGATAGTGATTTTAAGTCGCAAAATATTTTATTTTGAATGTAAAAATATTTAATAAATTATTATAATTGTTAATAACTAAAATTAAATAATTGTTTAAATACAACAAAATCACTGTTTTTGGCTGTTGTATTACAACATTAATATGGCCAACCAAATAGCTTCATATAATTATGCCACTCCAACTACAAGTAACTATGTTACTACTACAGTAAATTATGCACATGAAATAAAGGAAAGTTCTCATGCTGTGGCCACTACAACGTCATCATACCATAATCATAATCATCAACAATATAAGCAAGGGCCATTTTTTGATTATCTACACATTCTTTTGACATTTTGTAATCGTGACGATGTGGCCGTGGGATTTACAATTATTTGCACTGCGTGGGTTGTTTTTAAAGAAATAGAGAACGTGCCAATTAATGTAAGTTATTTAAAATCAAAATATACAGTCAAGATAATAATAATTAATTTAAACAAATATAATTTTAATTTATTTGTATAATACTACTTCATATAAAATTGATTTAAATTTAAATGTAATTTATAAAGTTGCGAGGTGCCTACTCAAGGTGCCTATCATATATAAATTCAAGTGATAAATCTAACAACCACGGTCGTTACATCTTATCCGTCCCCATAATAAACAAACCGTTACCGACAACAACAATCTCAACTGTATTGAAAATTAAACAAGGCCCGACTTGCTCATGGGTAATTACTATTTACTCGTTACCATGATTATTATTAATCATATGTTTTTACACTGGACTTTTCCATTCAGACTGCAAGAATTCTAACTAATGACACACTAGCAATATGTTACAAACTTTTACCATTCAAGCATACATCAAACAACACAGACCGACATAATAAAATGCACCTGATTCAATCATATATTGCCTCAAGCAAGAGTGATAGACATCCATTGCCTATGTTTATTACTGATTGCGTTGTAATGAATCACAAAAATTTTCCAAAGTTAAATAATCATTTACTATTCAACTATCTTATATAATAGGAAACGATTGACAAAACAGAATTAACTATAATATTGTTGGGAGAGTCTGGTGTTGGGAAGTCAACATTCATTAATGCATTTGCCAATTATTTCTCATTCAAATGTATGGATGCGGCAACAAATGCAAAGCCCGCGTGTTTAATAGACACGTCATTTATCCATAACGACACAGAAACGGGTAAACCAATGAGACTCACAAAGAATTGTCATGATAGACATAAAAATACAAGTAGCTCGAACACATCTGAACCATTTATGCCCAAGTTGTACGCGTTTCAAAACTATAATCTACTAATCAATTTAGTCGATACACCGGGTATTGCGGACTTTGATGGCGTGGATAAGTATAATGAACACATAGACAACGTACTAGACTTTAGAAGTGTTTTAACTGACAAAACGGTATTTTGTGTACTTTTGAGGCCAAACGAGACAAAAATTAAAAATTACTTGCTACAACTGTTTGCTAAACTATCGGGTAGTAAAAATGAATACATACTATTCATGTTTACCAACTCCGACAACACTAACTATATGCCTGGAAAATCGGTACTCGATGTGATTGACATTTTAGACGAATTACGGGGAAATGCTGACATCGGTTACGATGAAAACGATTTTTATTTTATAGATAACGATGTTTTTCGATATGTTATCTGTTCGAGTTTACCATTTCACTTACAGTTCGATTTGAAATCAATTATCAATTTCAGGGAAAACTGGGATAGGTATGTGATTCTATACAATCATCTAACAACTATGTCAAAATCTAATAATACTGTATGCCATCTCTAATGTATACAGTCAAATAGATATGCTATTAACAGGTTGGTTCTTTAGATTTTGTTAATAGATTAATTGACAACATTAAGATGATTCTAACATAATGTTTATGAAGTAGATATTTGGAATTTGGTTAATAACATAAAGTAGTTGCATTTAAAACATATTTAAAAAATTAATCCTTTAAGCAAAATATTAATAACTATAAAGTTTAACAATTATATTTTTAACATTATCTATTTATAATATTAAATATATAGTACCCTCAAACGGTCGTTATTAATATTATTATTAATGGCAAATATTAAACCACATTATTACTAATAGGTCGGTATTGGAATGCAGACGACTAATACAAATCATTTTGGCTACAAAGAATTAATTTAATCCTGGCATTGTGTGTGTGGTTGTATTGTAGGTTATTATAATTGTATAATCAATCAATATCAAATCAGCTTGCTATTTTACTTCCTAGCAATTATTATTAAAATTTATGAAACTTAATATTGATAAACATAATAACATTTATACTATATTATTTTATATTAACCAAGTGCTCCATCCCATTACAACAAATTAGTAAATTAGAATTACTATATTATTTATAATTAAAATTAATTATAATATATTATATATATATATAATATTAATAATATATATTATATAGTCAAAATGTTTATTATAATTTGATAGAAATGCTTTAATAGATTCAGTTAATTATTTATTGTAATATGTTATAGATAATAATACTAAATATTTTATTAAATTAAGAAAAATTTGACGAAATTTATCAAGAATAAATTATTGTTCACATTATTTAACGGCATTTACAAATTAATTACATTATAAAAATAAACAAAAAAGAATAAAAATATTTACTATAAAATAAACTAAAATAAATTAAGTATATAACAATATAATTTTAATTTTAATTAATGAACACTATGGTTTTAATGGTTTGTTATGGGCCAGTGTTAAATCTATAGAAATCTTAATGATAAATCCTAATCATAATGACCCTCATTCAATGTGTCAATTATTGTGAAACTATGAGCAAACTTATAGATTTCAATGGGAAGCTAACAATACTCTCATTCTCTGTTGTTTCTGTCACTATTATTTGATTGACTGTACAATCAGTTTAACATTTGGTTCACTGACAACAACTTCTTTGCTTAAAAGCTGATCCGTTGTTTCGTTTACTATCATCTCATTATAGGATTATTTAATAAATTGATCGCTTAATCCATTATCTATTTGCTGACCTAATATTATAGTATTTATTTATCATCACTGGTTTTGACAAAATTTTTTTTAATCATGGTTTATTTTGTTTAATTCTAGATACGTTTGTGTAGGCGGTTCCAATAATTAAGTGATCAATTACTATGATCAATTTGCGGGTCAGCATACAGTTTGTTCATTTGTTGAACATTTATGTTATCTCAATGTCTATCACTTGATTTGTTGTTATAATAATAAGTAGTTTATCTGTAATTGGCGATTACTAATCGCATTATCTATTGTTACGGTATTTATTGCTTCATCATTAGTTGGGGTAAAAATTTCTTGATCGTGGTTTAATTTGTTTAACTCTTGATCACAATCATTGCGGCTCACCAATAATTTATATAATCATAAATTTTATACACTAACTACATTTAAATAATTATTATCATTTAATTATATTTTATTAAGTAATAAATCTATTTTTAATTAATACAACAATTATTTTGCTAAATAATACATTTATTACTAATTATTTTATTTACTTTTATTGAATTTATATTTTCTAAACAAAAAGTATTTAACAAATTGTCTGTCGATATCATATGAAGCGTTCGTGTATTCCTAATGTAATATTTAATTTATTTAGCAGTTTTTAATGTACTGCTTAAATAGCAAAGAAATATACTACAATGAATTTATTTTAAATGTTACTAATATATGTTACTACTAATTTTAATAATAGAACATTAAGTAATTTAACTTTATTGATGTACGGTAATTAATAATGTTTTGTATCATGGTCCAACACAATAATATATTTAAATAATTATTATCTTTCCACTATATTTTATTAAGAAATAAATCTATTTTTAATTAATTAAACAAATATTTTTTTAATTAATACACATTTATTAATAATTTTTTATTTATTTTTATTAAATTTATATTTCTTAAACAAAAAGTATTGAACAAATTGTCTGTCGATATGATATGAAGCGTTGGGTTCAATGACGGCCAGTATGTGTGCCCTAACGGACGCGTAAGGGATCGACCATTCATTGTGTCTAATAATGAGGTCTTTAGCCGACGGCCGACCGTTTCGTACGTTATTTAATAGACGTAAAGTTTGTTTCTTTATCTTCTCATAATTTGTATACAATTCTTGTTCAGTTTGGCTAAAAAATTATAAAATGATTTTTGTTAATAACCTTGGTATGTTTGTTAAATTAAGAAATATAATATTTTTATCGCTGTTACTGAAATCCAATTGCTAATTTCTAATGAATTTAACAATATAATTTTAAAATAAATCCTGGCAAAGCTAAATTATTTATAATTTAGCGAGATATTCCGACTTCCCGATAAACTATATAATTAACTTGTGTAATTATACAAATAAATAATTTTTGTACTAGCTAACAGTTTATATGTAAAAATTATATCAATAAAATTTAATTTGGCAAAAATATTATATTTCTAAACACAAATATAACAGCTTAATTAAATGATCTAATTATTGTATATAATTGAATTTTAACAATAGTTGTTAATTAATAATAAGTAATACTCACAACAAAGTGTTGGCATCAAAATTAAACATATGCTGAACAGTAACGCCCAGACTATACATATCGCACTTTGTGTCGTATCGGCGCCCCTGACGGACCTCAGGCGCCAAATACTCGTCCACACCCGAGCACTGGGTATGAGATTGACCATCATTCATGTGTTTTGTGGCCAAACCAAAACCACCCAACTTAACAAAAGTACCGGCATCGGGATCGTATTTAATCATAATATTGCCAGGGTTAATTTGTCGGTGTATAATAGGTGTAGTATTTGTATGCAAACAATCAATAGCTACAAGTAAATCATATAACAACTCGGCCATAATGTAATAGCCTACGGGTGGCAATAATTGTCCATGGTCTAATTGAAAATGTGTTAATATGCGATTGATAGCCTCCCGGAGCGAGAATGAGCACAACTCTTGCTGAACGTAATGTACGGCAAAGTTTGCGAACGCGAACTGATGGGCGAACAGGCGTTGAATGTCCGGTCTTTGGATGTTTTGGTAAGTTTAGTTAGACTCTGAATGTATATTGGTTGGTAATTATTACCAAGTTATGCTTTCGTCACATAATTATGCTCGTTTTAAATATATTTGATAACTGGAACTTCTAAAAACAACAATTTTTATTTATCTATATTGTTTCAATTTTGTATTTATAATATAATTCAATATATTATAAAATACAAAAATTTACGTTATAAAATATCTCAATTAACTTAATAAAATTAATCTTTCATTGGTTAATTAATTATACAATATTTGCTATTAATGTCAATTAAAGAATAAACTAATGATAATCTATGATAAACATACAAACTGTAACAAATACTTTGTTACACGAGACAATTATTGTTTGTTCTAGTTGTAATCATAAATTAGCTTCCCCAAACATCTAGCTTGTTATATTTTTTAAAATAATTTAATTTATAATAGTGTTAAATATACATACTTATTTATTCATACTTATTTCTATATTAATCTCATGTAATAAAATACAATATCACAGATTAAATCTGTTAATAATTAAAATTACTAACAAATGATTAATTAAATACTATTTATAATATAATTGGCAATCAATAAGTTTTAAATTATTTTTGTATTCATTATGGCGTTTTAAGACATTGTATTTAAATTAACCATCATTTTCCAATATTACCATAAATAAATATTTATACATAGTATAGCGTTTAGTTGTTAGAGATGAACACGAAACACATGATAATTGCCATACATTTCATAACAATTGCTATAAAGTGCTATAAATTAGAAAGTCAACAAATAACAATAATAATTATCTATTTATTATTAATTAATCTACTTTATATTTATTTTGATAGAACAAGCATCACCGAGTTATTATATAAAAATATTGTTCTCTACCATTGTTCTAAATTAAATATATTTATATATGAATTAATTTTAATAAGTTTTGTCACAAATAGATATTGTAATAAATCAAATTAATTGCAAAATCAATACTTTAGATCATAAGTCATGACATCTTAATAGAAAAGCTTTTTCTGTATTCCCTGTTGCCGTAGACAATACATAAGCTAAACAAATTTTTGCGCAAATTTGAATAATTTGAATTTAATTTACTTTGTTAAAAATTTGAATATTTGATCTGGGTACAATACTTACAACTTTTTTATAATTACTTAATTATTTAGAAAAATGACGACAAAAGCATATAATTAGAGCAACAAATGAATACGAATTGCGAGAACTCGAGTGAATCGATGCGAAACAAGTCGTAACAATAGATAGCGATCTTCATTTCGGACGCCAATCGCTCCGCAAATGCCATCACTTTTAACCGATCGACGGGTGAGAGGGCTGTCGACCGGC